TGATACAAGATAATCCTTACAATTGCCATGTGGGATAAGATCATTTATTCCCATTTTACAGAGGAAAATTTTGAAGTTTAGTACCTTTAGCTTATCCCCATGTACAGCAGGTGGTAAATGGTAAACAAGAATCTAAATCCTGAATCGCTTATGCCCTTAATTTCTACAGTTCCCACAACACACAATATTTCTCTACTTTAAGGCTTTATATATAACTAGATAAATATATATGACCCAATAATTCCAACTTTAAGATCCTCTCCTATGGAAATTATCTGGAAAATGAGCAGAGATTTATTGGCAGACAATATTAATCACAGGATCAATGGCGGGGGGGGGGGAATGAGGAATAGCTTGACTACCCAATAGTGGCCCTTGTCTGGAAAATTGTCCTGGCTGCTCCGCTGTGGTCTTGGGAGGCTGACTCTCCTCTGTGACTGCACAGCATTCTGCATTAGTCTCTTGTCCCCTCTGATTCCTCCTTTGGACTCTGAGTTTCTTAAAAGCTGATCTTTTCTTAATTGTCTTTGGTTTAGATTTGGGGCTTGAGTACTGATGGATGAATTAATAAAGGAGCCTGGAGTTGCTTATCTAACACAGAACCTGAAAACTAGGGCAATAAAAAAACCTTTTAGAGATCAAAAGGGCAGGACTAGAACCCAAGGCCACGCACAGAGCTCTTCTCTTCCACTGTACTCCCAGCACTCTTAAAACTTTAAAAAAAAAAAAAAACCCTATGGCTGATTTTAAAAAATTTTTTGTTGTTGTTGTACATGGACAGAATACCTTTTATTTGATTTGATAATTTTTATGTGATGCTGAGGATCGAATCCACATGCTAGACAAGCACTTTGCCACTGAGTTACAGCTACAGCCCCCTATGGTTGATGTTTGAAGCCTTGAGCAAAGGCAGGGAGAGAGTCCTTGACAGGCCCTCACTAAAGTGATCCAGTCCCCTGGAACCACCTGACCTTGAAAATGCTGAGCAGCTGATATGGATGGCAAATCAAAGGGCACCACTTTAACGCAGATGGGGACTACAAAATGCATATATGAGAAGATTAAGCACAAAAAGATAAAGAGACGTCACTGCACAGACAGTATGTTATCAACCATATAGGGAAAACAATCCACAAAAAGAAAATAGCAGAAGGAAAATCATCAAGTCCTAACAGTGGTTTTCTGTGAATAGTGGAACACTTTTCTGTTTCTCAATACTTTCTTGTAATTTCCAATTTGTCTTCAGTGGACATGTTTGTTTTTATAATCAGAACAATGATTAAAACTTCAATTACCACATTGATTCTGAAGACTAACCTGACTAGTAATGACTTAGAAAATTACCCCAGCATTTTAATATGATGAAACTTCATTGCTTAATATTACTATCATAGAAAAGCCTATAAAAAGTATATCCCTAGGAGTCAGGTTGCAATGATGTAGTTTAAGAATATATGCAAATAAGAAAAATTTCCTTAATTCAGCTATTATCAAACAAATCACTGATACCAGGTCTGAGCAACAAACTCCCTTTCCAGATTTATAGGACTCTAACATGCTAGACAATCACTGTGTTTTCATTAATGAATTATTACTGGCATTTTTTAATGTAACCACATCCTCACCCTTATGGAGCACTACATTCTCTTTGAAGCCATACATCTTCCACTTTACTACCAATTCTCATTTACTACCAGTTCTTACCTTTACCAATAAAAAGAGGGGCCCTCCAGAGGTCAAAATTGAGGTGAATTAGATTTTGTTCGGCTGTTAAGGGCAACTTCCAAGAGACATCCAAATGTATTCCCAGCAAGGTTGGTAGGGCTGGACTGGGCCTTCCTGAAAAATTGTAAATCCCTCAGGGCAAAGAATGGATCTACTCGTTCTTTCAACCCCAGACTGAGCACAAGACCTTCTCTCTTCCACTATCTATTTGTCAATAAGGAGAATGAATAAGTGAAATGACTTAAGATTGCACAACCAAAGTTATGAAAGTTCTAGTTTTTCATCTGTTTTTTACTTTGTCTTTTACCTTAGAGTCACAGACTTCATCACTATCCAAACCTCCCTTTATAGTTTAGCAGGCATTCACACCTCTTTATGACCAGTGGGGACCCCTTACCCAAGCACACAGGTTTCCCCATTTATCACCTTAAAATCTGGTGAGCACAGGAGCCTGCCAAGAGATCTGAACATATGCCTGTGTCATATGACTAATACTGCCAGAAACTCCAGGAGATTTATACACACGATTCCCCTCACATCATACACTGGCCCTTCTGCTTCTCTATCTGGAAGGCCTGAGCATCTTCCACTCTACTAGAGCAGCAGGTACAGAGAGTGGGCAGGTAGGGATCTCACTGAACAAAGAAAACTGGAGCCCAAGAGTTGAGGTAGTGTGAACAGCTAACTGAAGTCTTCTGACTTCTCACTGCCCTCTGCTTTATAATTATATGCTAAACAGGCTTCTGACTGCATAAGGCAGAAAGCAATAAAGGAACACTGTGTAAAAGCAAAGTAAGCACTAAAGAAAACTGATTCCCAACAACTGTAACACTTTGCCATATCCACCATTGGGATCCATGCCTTTGTTTAATAACCAAACACATTTAAATCCTTAAGGAATTCATTCTCCGACTTCAAGGGTGTTGTTATAGCAACCACATAACTTTGACTCTCCTCTAGGGTACCCACAAAAACTTGTTTGATGCAACCATTTCCCTTTTGAGAAGCTCTAAAAGTAGAATGCACATTTCCATGTACCCTTGGGCAAGTAATTTCTCTTTAGAAATAAGAGGGTCCAGGATGCAGCCTGATGATTTCTCAAGTACCTTACAGGGTTAGCATCCTAATGAGAAAAACAAACTCCCTTGTCAAGTGCAATTACTGTGAACCTGAAACAAACTCCAAGGAAAGGAACAAGTGTAGCTAGGAGATTACAGGGACAGGGGAAAACCACAAACTATCCCTAACTATCGAAACCCGGCCTGGCTGTTTTTGGGTTTTCCAACTTCTCCTCTGCCAAATACAAAAATAAGCAGTTACTTCCGTGGGACTCTATAAACATAAATAAATAAAATAAAATCAATGAAAACAATGCTTTGTTCTCCCATGAGGGGATCAGGAGCAGCCCTCTAAGAGACACTTTCCTCCCTGATGTCAACAGCCCATGCTTTCACCCAAACAAAGGCCTCCTGGCACCTGGATGAGAGGCAAAACATCTAAGTCTCCATAATTGGCTATAGTCCAATTTGAGGGGAAGGGGCAGTCAGGAGAGAAAAATAACTAGGCTTAGGAAAGGCTAGAAGAGTAAGGAATTATTAAATGTATCTTTTCTCAAAAGAATAAAGAACTCTTGAAAGGGATAATAGAAGGGTGCAGCTTTCAATCTGAATTACTTTCTTTGTTTAACTCTACTCTGCCTAAGGCCACTGTCTTTTAAGCCAACCACAGAAGCCTGGTTCTGCCTTGAGTTGCCAGCAGGGCTGTGCAGTGTGGGAGCTGGGAGACCCACACTCAAATCCGGGCCCCAATTTCATCCAGCTTAAACTTGGACAAGTGGCTGAACTCTCAGACCTCAGTTTCCCTCCTGTAAAGTATAATAAGGTTCGCTGGATGTTCTCTTGACCTTTTCAATAACAGTGACATGGGGCTAGAGATTTCTCCAGCTCTCCTGAGAAAGGTTAATCTCCAACCGTACTAGACAAGGTAAAGCTGCACCCCCAATACTCACCAAGCACACAGTGGGGCAGTGCTCCTTCCCTTCCTGCTGCGCACACCTCTTACTCCCCAACCATATGGTCTTACTTCCTCATTGACACCATTGCCTAAGAGACCAATTTATTCCCCAAACCATCTTCCTGCTGCCAGTCCAGAACTGATTAAGTAAAACCTGCAATGTTGAGTTGAGCATGTGAGCAACGAAAAACAAAACAAACAAGAGGCCTCTCTTTCCGGACCTTAGAATTTCTTTCACATAATCTCATAAGTGAAACAGTACGTTTCACAGAACGGCGTTCCTGTGAAGACATATAATAAACCGAAAAGGAGCCAGTGACACCTGGGGTGTCTAAACTCACGGACCTATGAAGCAAAGCGCAGGGGAAACCTAAGCCCTTACTGGCCAGTGTTTAAATTGGACTGTTGTTTCTACAGGCTGGAGAGGCGCTCGGAGATTTCCCAGGAGGCGGTCACTAGAGCGCGTGGACAATGCTGCGCCGGTCATGGTCCTTTTTGGAAAGACACCCATAGACCCTTGGTTAGAACCACATCCCTAGGACACCTCCGTGAGGGCCTATCCACTTCACCCGAAGGAATGCTCCACCGCCGGGACAGACTCTAGGGCTGGGGTAATTCTTTTCGTAGCTGCTTTCTCGTTTCGTTTTTCCCTTTTAAAATCTAGCAGTTTAGTCTGATGCACAAGCGGTACCTTTTAAATGTCTCTCGCTTGCCTCCACCAAGTGGCGCCTGCAGCGCCGCTCCCTCCCGCGCGGCAGAGACAATAGCCGGCTCCACCGGGCGGCTCACCAGGTTTGCGGTGCGCCCGGTTCCCGGGGCAGGGTGCACGTGCGTTTGTTGTGGTGTCTGTGCTCCCTCTCCAGCCGCGGGCCTCTGTTTCCCGATCTGCAAACCCACTAGGCAGGATCTGCAGGAACCCGAACTCTACAAGACGTCCGCTTCACACAATACAGATGGCGCGGTGGAGAAAGCGGGGCTCCGGAGGGCCGCGCGCACGTGGGTTTGTTGTGGGTCCGTGGGTTCGCGGAGCCGGGGAGCAGCCAGGGCGGCCCCACGGCATGAACAAATACACCAAGCCCCTCTCCCCCGCCCAGCCAAAAGGCGGCTGGTTTCGCAAAGGCAGTTGAGAAGGCGCTGGAGACAGATCCCCTGCGCCCTAGGCGCGCCGCGGGCCCCACCGCTGTGCTTAGCTCTTGTACCCCTTTGCATCACTCCTCCCGGGGGCCCTGAGGACGCCGCCACCCATCGCACCCCTTACTCACTCTCTGCGTTCTCAGTAAAGAAGGCTGCGGCTGCTCCGCCCGCTCTGCGCTGACGCTGGTCGGTAGCCCGTTCCCTTTGTTAGCGCTGGGCAGTGCCCCAGGCGTCTTCCCCAGCCAGCCCTGCCCAGGACTCCCCTCCCCCAGGTGCCTCCGGACTCAGCTCTCGGCTGGGATAGCGGAGCTCGTGACTGGAGCTTTAGAGGGAGTCCCAGGAGGTGGGGTTTGACGAGGAGGAACGAGGGACGGGTGGTGTGTGGTGGTGGGATCGAGGAAAGGAGGGAAGACGAGCGCAGCGAAGGGGCGGAGAGGAAGCAAGCCGTCTCCGTTATACAAATAGAGTCACGAAGACCAGGCAAGGCCCCGGGCCACACGGAGCCCCAAACCATCCTGGCCCTCCGGAGGTCGCTATCGAGCGGGCTAAGGGTTAAGGGTGCCTTGTTAGGACTCCGCCTAAACAGGGACACTGCCTTCCCCCAAGGAAGGGGAACTGAGGGAGAGAGGCAGTGCAGCAAGCAAGGACCCTCAAATGCTGCCTGTATACCCACCTACCCCTGCCCAGGAGAGTTGAATTCGGTATTGTCCAGTTTTTTGCCCTAACAAGCAGCCTCTGTCCATCTGCTACCAACTGACCCCCTGAGCAAGTCACTTAAACCTCTTGTAAACTAGCATTCCGGAGGATAGGAAAGAACGAAATGTATTTCAAAAGGGTTGGTAAGAATCTGTTAATATCATGCATAGCATGTATAGGTGCGCTCAAATAACAAACAAAATAAGAGAAGGGGCGTGGTGGAAACCCTACACACAGAAAAATCTACCTTGGCTGTCTACAGGTGGGCTGGCAGAGAAGGCTTCTGGTAGGGTGATGAAAGGAGCCAGGTTCCTTCCACTCACCCGGACTAGGATGGTGCTGCTGGGGAAGAAAGACAAGAAACCATTGTTGAACAAGGCATCCTGACTATCCCTGACTGCCCCAAGGCCACTTCCCCAATACAGAAAACAGCCCTATAAGAGGTACCCGCATTAGGCCACACTCCAGTTCCCTACAACCCAGAAAAGAAATGGGAGTAGCAGAAGCAAAAACCATATCCTAAATGTCTAACTGAGTGCCCACTATAGAGAAGAAGAGGGGAGGAGAGGCAACGTGGAACTTAGAGTGCTTGAAGTCTGGGCCTACAAAGTTTTCTCCCCAAGTCAAGGGGGCCACTCCCCATCACTAACCTGGAAAAGGGGAGATTGCATCCTCATCCCCAACATCCTGCTTCCTCCCTCTCTTGATCCCTGCAGTTTCTGCTCCTAACCCTTCCCCTGCTGCTCTGAAAGCAGTATTGCTCTGTACAAGTGGTCCAATTAAAGAGAGCACCAGACAGTGAATTTAAATCGATGATCAACAAGTGATACATTCTTGAGTAAGTTCAGGACTGCCCTTTGCTCTTGTATAAAATAGAGATATTAACAATAGTATTGTTTTCAGGTTTATGTGAAATGGTGATCTGTGTAGAAGCGCTTCACTTAGATGGTGCTCTTAACAGTAAAATGTGGATGTGAGAGAATGCACAGAATCAGACAACACTGACATCTGTTTCTGAGAGGATGCTACATTGAAGATTGAGACTTAATTCTTTTTTAAAAAAGAAGACACTCTTAAAGATTTTGTACAGTGCCATACAATGCATCTATTTGTTTTGCACCAATTCCTCTGGAATCACACTGGAAAATGGCTGGCAGGAGCAAGTCAGAAGATGGGCTTGGATTCTGCCATCAGTGGAGATATGATAAGAGTGAGCCAGAACAATGGCAGAGGGAATAAAGACAGGACAGCTAAGTAATAGCTGCCACTTGGGAGAAAAGGCACTTTGTTTATTGTATTGTCTCTCCTCATCATTGTCTTTCCTTCAACATCCTTTTTGTGTCAACTCTACTTACGAACAAATACAGAAGAGAAAGCTCTTGTAAAATATTGCACATTCCCCAGTTCTCAGTTCTGTTTTCTAAAAATTCAACCAAATTATAGAGAAAACAAAGAAAAGGGCTTGCTCTAGATTCTTGGCTTGTGAAACTTAGATAACAGATGCTATGATAAACCTAAGAAGTTCTGGGGCAGAGAGCAGATTAGCAGGCAAGAAGGGATTCTCCTGGCAAAATTCCGGGGTGCAATCCCATGAAACAGCTTCTGCCAAGGTTACTCTCGCCTCAGTCAAGGACTTCTGACCTACAAATTAGAGACAAGGAGGCTGGACCATAAGTTGGGGACCTGTTTACTATCCACAGCTTCTTTGTGATGCTTCCCTGACTGTTCACTCTTCCTTGATTGGTTGGCAGAACCAAGGTCCCTACCTTGATTGGTTGTTTTCTTAAAAATACACATCTATCTTGTAATCCCAGCTACTAGGAGACTGACTGGGGCAGGAGGATCAAAAGTTCAAAGCCAGCCTCAGCAATTTAGCAAGGCCCTAAGCAACTTAGAGAGAACCTGTCTCAAAATTTTAAAAAAAGGGTTAGAGATGTAGCTCAGTGGTAAAATACCCCTGAATTCAATCCCCAGTACCCCCCCCAAAAAAAGTAGTTTCTCTCCAGACACAATTCTGCAGCCTCCACCCCCACCATCCGAGTGTGTCCCCCCAAAATTTCATATGTTGAAATCCTAACCCCCCAGGTTAGTAGTATAAGGAGGTAGGGACTCTGGAGGAGTAGATTATGAGGTCAAAACCCTCATAAATGGAACAGTGCCCTTGTAAAAGAGACTCCAGAGAGCTAACTAGCCCTTCCACCACACAAGTATGCCTCTAGGATTTACCAGCTAGGAACCAGAAAACAAGCCTTTACCAAATATCAAATCTGTAATGACCTTGGTCTTGGGCTTACCAGCCTCCAGAACCATGAGCAATAAATTTGTTTTGCTTCTAAGCCACCCAATTTATGGTATTTTTATTGTAGCAGCCAGGAGAGATGAAGGCATCCTCCCTCCCCCACCCCAACCCCTCCCACCTTGGCCCACGCATGTTCTAGGTCATCACTTCAGGCAGTTTACTGACTAATACAAATGAGGCCCTACCTTCTAATGTTCAGTTACAATGATTCACACTGGTAAAATAATGTTTTCATTGCCCTCTTGAATGGGAGGTAGTATTAAAGTCTTGTGGGAGAGAAGGAAGGCAGCAAGCAGTTGAAAATATCCTCCCAAATTCTTGTTCCCAACCTCATTGCAAATACTCCTAAAGGCCTTTAAACAGACCTCACAGTTCTCCTTCTCTGAACACCTTGTTCAGTATGAGGTTAGGCTCAGGGACCTAAAGAGATTAAATGTAGTCTCCCTACACCCCTGATCTTGGCCCTCAGTGCTGCCAGCCTTATGAGCTACATACCCACAACATAGTCTTTAGAGACCAAGTGAGAAATAAGAATGGAATTGAAAGGAAAGTGACCACAACACTCGGAGCAACCAAAAGATCTTTATTGCAGCAGTGCAACAAAGTGAAAGGAAAGAAGGAAAGAGAGAGAGAGAAAAGAGAAGAGATGAACAGGGAGAGAGCAAGAGCAAGAGAGAGACAGAGAGCGCGCGTAAGAAAGATAAAGAGCAAGAGAGAGAGAGCAAGAGAGAGGGGGGCCTGGCAGGAGGGAGTTTTTATAGCCCAAATCTAATGGGGCCTCTGGGTCTGCAAGCTGCCTTGTTGGCCCAAGGGGGGTTGAGTGCTCAGCCTTGAGCGGGACTTGACACAAACAGGTGATAAAGGACCAGATAGAGGGGGGTTTGAGTGCGTGGGCTATCTTGCAGCCAACATCTGTTCAGCCTGCCCTGCAGACAACACAGTTCAGCCTGCTCTGCACCCAACATTCCTCCCTTTTTGTTTTTCTAAGTGACACGGGGGATGGCGTAAAGTCCTCTGGCTTCTTCCTGCTTAATGATGGGCGGCGTTAGACCTAGAAGGGGAAGTGGAGGAATGTTCGGGGGACAGGTCTGAGAACACCAGGGCAGCCAGAAATAACACTCAGTGGCTACAGACAACTACTGTAGTAGGGGTAAAGTCCATAAAAGTTCCTTGAAGCCACAAGTCCTTGATGGCATCAAACCAGTCCTAGATGGAGGAGATTCTTGGTATCAGCCACTGGTCCTGTAGCAGGGACTCTAGGAAGTATTGGAGGTGGTTTGGTTGAATCCAGTAATGTTAAGGGTGACAGCCTGATTGCAGCCAGTGGAAGGGCAATCGCCTTGACCCATAAACTGAGAGTGGGTGGTGTCATCCTGGTGTCATGTCACATTGATGTAGAAGCAGTATCTGTGGTTTGAGATAAAAACTTGAGAGAGAATAATGATTAGTAAAAGAAGAAGAGGGTTGGTAAGAAATTTTGAGTTTGGTGGGCATGGTGGAAGTCCAGGACTGGACATTTGGAACAAGTGCCTTTTTAAGGTGGGAGACATGGTGGTACCAGAGGGAGTTTAGGTTTGATGCTTCCTTGTGGGGATACTGTAGAGCAGACAGAATAAGCAGAGTGGACGTGCTGGAGAGTAGTTCTCATTCCTAGGAAGTGAAAGAGGGGTTGTGAAAATTGGAAAAAGGGTTAGAGAGGGGTTTAGATGGGCACAGAGTCTTTGGAGCCAGAGGAGTTGGTCATGAGTCGTAGGTGTCCATCTTGGGCATCAGGGCTGGTAGTCTTAAAGAAGTAGTTGATTGACCAGCTTGTTGGTGAATTTGTGTATCTGATCTTGCAGGAACTTCTGTAGGCAATTTAATAGACATGGTTCTATTAGGAGAAACATAAGAGGACTAACAGGGGTCCTATGAGGGAGAGGAGCCAAGGCCATACTTAACTGAACATTCCCCATGGAGCCTGTTGGCTTAGTTGCTGTCTCCTCTTTTCTAGCTGTTCTTGTCCTTCATTACTCCCAGGAATGACTGGTTTTGGCTTAACTGGTTTTGGTAGGTGTTTAAGATCAAGTTGGTCAAAATTGACTTTGTTTCTATCTATTGTTAAGAGTCAGCCGAGTTCCCATAGGGGTCGCTCGTGGGGGAACCTGAGAGCAGCTTCATAGTTCTGCTAGTGCCATTTGCGCTAGGATAGGTCCAGGTCTTGCTTGACCATGTGGCTTCCCTTGGAAGCATCAGGGATGTCTCCTGTCTCCAATGACCCTCCTATTCACA